GGCGTCAAAAAGAAGTCCTATTTCGTCCGGGACAAGGTTATTTCGGCCCTACGATATTCCAACTTGTATAAAAGAGGTCCTAAACCTATTTTGAAGGAGGGTAGGCACTACTTTAGGGTTAGACAACACCCTTGGGGGCAAGAGGCAAGGAGGATCATTGGGCATCAATCTTTAATCTTCTTCTTTGTTCTTTTACCTTTGAATATGAATTCGTTTGTGATTTTTGTTATTTTCATGAGTAGCTAACTTTTCTAATCTAAGGTTTTGGTGAAACTCGTTGGGGATGAATTGGTTGTTATAAGTAATATAGATTTGAATTAGTTTAATCTCTATTTGTTCAACTATGTTTTGATTGTGGTTAATTGAAAGGATCCTTAATTAGCCGTTCCTATTTATTATGTATCTGCTTGAGAGAGAGTGCATATTTAGGTAGTTGTTTGAACAACATCACTCCCGGAGCATAGGCGAGAGTCATAACCGAGGGTTTAGAGGTTGGATTAGAGATAACGATACCTCGGGTGCGATCTAAGTGAACTGTAATGCGAATCTAGCTAGCGTAGCTTGAGAGAGTGCGTCTAGTAAATTATCATAATTGCTTGAGAGAGATTTATGATAGCTGAAGAGTTCATGATTGATAGAGGCAACTAAGTCAACGCTATAAGAAACATACAACCAAGGAAATCAACAACGGGGGAAACCATTACCTTAGACCTTTATTCTAATTGTTTACAATTAAAGCATAGTTAGTTTTCAGCTGTTTATTTATTTTCAATCTTGTCTTCTTGGTGATATTAAACAGATACAGCTAAGCCTTAGTTCTCTGTGGGATTCGACTCCTGCCATTTAGACCGGATTATATTTGCAGCGACTGCTTATCCTTTTTAGGACTAGAGTTGGGCGTGATCAATCACTAATTAAGACTTTGTTTTATAGCACTTTCTTTGCAAAGAAGTGTATGAAGAATTAAATAATCAGCAAGATATTAATAATTGATATTGTCTGTTTTAAAAACTTTATGTTACTTTTGCATGCAATACGATACTTTCTAGTTCGACTTTTGTAAATTGACGTTCTACCAAAAAAATTTAAGTGCTATTTTGTATTATAAACCACAACTTTCTTCTGTCTTTTTTTTCTCCCCTTCTTCTGAAAAGTGAATAATGACATATTGAAGCATAAACATCAAATAAGCCATGCAAGAATTTGCTTAATTATTTCAATAGGTTGTGCAGGAGATGAGCCGTTTAACTTCATATACTTCTAAATAATTAATGAAAAAATATGTCATTTTACTTAATTATTTTGTACTTTCTGTATTACACACAAATAGACAAACACACCCTGGAATCTGGATGTTTCAAAATGAGTGTCTCCTTGCTGTCCCAACATACCTCCTTTTCTAATAGTACCATTTTGTCTCACGTTTGACATGTTGCATTTTTAGGAAGAAAATCACTTTTTCAGTTGGTCTGTGAGCGTGTATATCCATGTAAGTTAAAAAATGATTTACCTTATACAAACACCCAATTTTACACTATCACATAATTTAACATGTGATAACATATTTTGTTATTGTTTATCATGCTGTCAATTAATGGTTATTAATAAAACTTATCTATGATTACCTTAAAAATAACTTAATTGCCTAAAACCTTTTTGAAGAATTTACACCAAATACAACTTCTTTAACACTTATTTATAATGTTTTTAGAAAATTTCACAAAATACAATTTATTACAACCTTTTAACCTTTTAATTAGATTATTAAGTTCATAAACTCCTAAAATTTCTCCCCTAAACGTGGGACACTGGCACAAACAAATTGTTAAGTGGACAGTTACACATAATCTAATTTTTTAGGCTCCTATAATATCTCAATCATCCCTGTATTAATTATTAATACAATCAAAACAAATTCACGCTCAAAAGAAACATGCCTTTTCAGTTTTAAATTATAGAAGGTTTTCATTTTCTTTCTCCCTTACAACCCTGACAAACCATACAAGGCTTGGGAATTTTGCTGCCGAAAGTGTTTGCTTTCCCCAAAGTTTTTTCGATAATGTATGATTTTATATTATATACTATATATTGTTATTGTATATTTTAATAATATATACATTTTATTATATACATTTAATAATATATACATTATATTCGTTTCCCCCAAGTTTGCATTTTCTTTATCTCTCCAT